TTTTTTCTCGAAAAGTTCGTGTTTTGAAAGTGACAAATCAGCATGTGAGAATCATGTGTTTTCTTTAAAAGACATTCATTTTAATTAAAGTGTTACTTACCTTGATGTATAAATCTTTTTTTTTTTAAAGTGTTATCCTTTCATTTGCAGAAAATGAAAACCCAAAATGTTTTGCCTGTAAATGTGGGAAAAGCCAAAATTGTTTCCCACAGATTATTTAATTCTTGTTTTAAGGTCCTTCGCAACGCAGAATTTGAATTCCGTTTATTGAAAGAATGTTTCACTTTTCTTTTAATTCGATGACATGCTTTACCTTGTTGTCCTTGAGCTTTTCACTTTATTGTGATTTCTTTCTTTCATGACTGTAGAGATGAAATAGTTTCTTTCCTGTAGTGAAACTGCTATGAATGTGAATAACTATTGGAGAAATAAATGCAATTACAATGCAAGTTCAGCAAAATGTCTCTTTTTTTTTCTTCTTTGTTGTTGTTTTTGTGTTTCCTAGGATCACTGCATTGAAAATGTCAGCAGATGTTTATAACTCTTTGGTTTTTTGTGTTTCTACTGAAGCTGATGGTCCTCTGCAGCTAAAGTGCCATTACAGACAGAATGAACTGGAGGACAACAGAGAGCTCTGTTCTAGTAGCTGCTGTGCAGTATTGTCTGGCCGAGGGAAATGTGCTTTTAACAGCAGTTAACCCTGTGAAAACTCACTCAGAGTTCGACCGACAAGGCTCTCTGTTTCTCTTCCATTTCAGCTTCCTGTTACCTTACCTTGTCTGTATTTTCTTCCTGAACATGCACACAGACATCTTAAGAATTTTGTCCTGCTGAATCCGTGCCAGTTCTCTTCAAATGTGTCCCATTCATTTGCAGCCAAAGTCTTGCCATCAAAGAAGTCCAGTCTTCTAAGAAATAAAGTATCTCTTTAATGGCCCTTATAAAAACAGACTTGGTGAGACACGAAATATACATGAAACTGATGAAATAATGTCACTCCTGAAGAGTGAAGAAAGTTCTTTTTTAAAAAAACAAAAACTTAATCACATTAATGAAAATGTGATACAATAAAACATCAAAGAAATCCATTAGAAATGCACAAGAATCAAGTTCCGTTTGAGTGCAGCAGCCTTTAGTTTCTTTGAAATGCCGAGACTAACCATTCAAAGTTTCACTCCACGGTATTTCAACTTTATTGTGGCTTAGCTGAATAGGGGAGAAGCGGAAGGTACCTGTGACGTCAGTTTAGTGCCTTTTGGTGCTTAATTGATTTGAACCTGGCAGTCTGACTGCCAGTCCTCTGGTGGGTCTATACAAATGGAGTTGTGGGCGCCAGCAATAGTGACGCAAGGACAGAGAGAGGTTGTAACCCCTCTCTGTCAGGCTGGCAGCTCCTTACCAGACCACAGTCTCAAGCAGCAGCGGTCCGCTTTGAGGCAATGTCTTTTAAAGAGACTGTTGGATATGCAGATTAAAAGTAATCTGGTATTTTTTTAAAGCACTGGATTTAAAAGGAATGGATAACGCTGTGGTTAAGTGGACATTATGGTTGAAAGTAGAATCTGTATAATTACTGTTGGATTCATACACACCCTTTATACAGGCATTGCATTGTAAGGCAATACAGTAAGTTAGCAGTCCTACACATAAAAACCATGCAAGCAGCTGGCATGCAAAGTTGATCACCTGACCTCAAATTGGCTGCAGATTAGTGTCAGTGGCCAAAAGACACAAAAAACAAACAAACCTCAAAACAAAAGACAACCAAAAACGAAGAAGTGAAAACGGATCCGTGCAGATTGTCCTAAAAACGTAGTTGTACCTGAGGCCCTGTAGCACTTTGAGGTAAACAAGTTTTTGTTTGAAATACATCTTGAGGCAACTTTGATTTTTATGTTTTTTTAAAGCACAGTCCAATACGCCAAGCAATGCTGGGTGTGCAAGAAAAGAAAGATATCTGACGACGGCTCCAGCCTGCCTTCAAGCACAGGTCATTGTAATTACACGATACAGATCCGCAAAGTAAGCTATGGGGATAAGTGAGCTTTAAATTGTGGCCTTTTGCATAATTGGCAGAAAACTATTTTCATACTATTGTCTGTTGTGGATGTGGTGCAACGTGTACCGTGAATTAACTTGGTTTAGTTTGAATCTTAAGGTCACACAAAAACTAGAGCAACAAACTGGAGTTTTTTTAATAGGTGGCCTGATGCAGAGTCCTGTGAAACAAGCTATTCTGGAAGAACTTGACACCTATAAGGAGGGGAAAAATTTTTTTTTTTCTATTCTTTTCTTTCTTTCTTATTTTTAAGACAGAAAAGCATTTGTGGGCTAAAGATAAAAGACAATCTCTCTGGCTGAATGAGCTGACTAATGAGGAGCAACCCCCAAACATACCAAACATTTAGCCACTCCTGAAGGAAGAGTGAGAGTCTGACCTCTAGTGTTTGTTAAAGGTATTACCAGAATTGAAAAAACTGAAAACAGAAAAGGGTAACTATAGAAGACTCCTTACAAAATAAGCATCTCTTTGTTTTTCTGATTAGTCAGGAAGCTCTCCAGCAGACCCTTGTCATCTTTATCTGAAAGTCACAACATATAGATCAGGTAATATCATTATAAATTATTAATTATTTCACTCTCCACCCTCTCTCATTGTAGAACCTACCATACACTACTAGGTTACAGGTACACTTGACCATCCCCAGAGGATTTTCCAGCACCAGAGTGTATTCTACATTGTCTTGAGCTCCACAAGTGGGGATGACTAGAGTACACACTCCATTAACTGTGCCAAAAGTGAGTGGAATCAGAGATCATGGATTCCCCTTGATACCAGCAAGCCTACAAAGGGGAGATTTTTTTTACTTGTGGGCAACAGAAGCGAACATCTGTGTGTACAAAGATTGTACGCACAGATGTTTTAAATTTTGCTTCACATATATTATGGTTGCTGACATCAGTAGCCATGTCTTTCATACCAGTGGAGTTGGCAGCCCCTGTTAGGCACAGCTCATGGTGCAGTCATGTCCTCTGAGAACGGCTTAGTCCTTCAGCGGCAGCAGGAAAGTAAGTTTAACATGACTTTGAGGTAATGCATATTCCTTCCCCTGAAGGCTGTTGATGCTGTCTTGGAAACACACAGCAGACATAAATAAATCTGTGTAAAGAGCGTGACTGAGACTTTTACCTTTCTCCTTGGCGATGATGAAAGGTTGCTTTGAATCAAAGGGATTCTGTCACCGACTGAATTCTGTGCAGTGACCCTAAAAATAGTACTTCCTTCCTGGAAGCAGTCCAGTAACAGTGTACTTGCTAATGAAAACACACTCGGTCACAGTAAACCAGGAAGCTGTACATAATGTGTTGCCTGATCCTCATCAGCCAGGTCAGGGGTGTGATCCCATTGCAGAGCCACTGTGTCCAGGATCTCCTCCACCAACTGGAGGTTGTTTGGCAGTTGGGGAACATCTGAGTACAGCAGCAGGAGAACAAGAGGAAGAAATTACTGTAAATTTCTCTTGACAGATCTGGAAGTTTGTATAAAGCTATAAAAACAGCAAATATGGATCTGAAGTGACTTTTTGTTACAAAATACAATCATTAAAGAAGGACAAAGTGGGGAGTAAATAACGAAGCATTCGTCACTTACCTATAACCTTGACATGGACTTCATAGTGAGCCTCTCCATAGTTATTCTTCAGGAGAACAGATGCCAGAGTCAAGTTGCTGAGTGGAAGAAATGAATGACTGGGAGTGATTCTTGGTGTTTGTGATGACCTGTCTTCCTGTGGTGAGAATGCCATCTTGGATATAAATGTGTCTGACTGGATGTTTGTGGTTTGTGTTTCGAGGTACAGTTATTACATCCTCCTGAAGAGAAAGACAACTGTTAAATATTAGCCACTTTATTTCACTGATGAAGTCTTACAGTGAAGCTGAAGTCAAGGCAAATTGCCTTTCCAGCTTGGAAAACCACACGATTATGGCCAATACACCTTTTGCTAGCTCAGTGGGCTCCCCCACCCCTTTTTCATTGACAGCTCGGACACGGAAGTGGTACCTCATCTGCTCCTGAAGTCCCACCACTGTGAAGGCGGTACAGGAGAGGGGGATCTTAGTGGCTTTCCTCCACGT